GATCTCCTCTAGGACTGACCGGTTGGATGTCCTTGCATTCCAAGAGACTCACATGAGTCTTCTCCAGCACCAGAGTTCAAAGGCCTCCATTCTTTGACGCTCTGCCTTCCTTATGGTCCAACTTTCACAGCCATCCATTGCAATTGGGAACGATTGAGGGCAAAAGAAGAAGGGGACGGCAGAGAAGGAGGTGGCTGGATGGAGTCACTGAAGCAGTCGGCGTGAGCTTAATTGGACTCCAGAGGATGGTAGAGGACAGGAAGCCCTGGAGCAGGGATCGGCAACCTTAAACACTCAAAGAACCATTTGGTCCTGTTTTCTGTTTCCCACAGAAAAGAAAACACCGGGAACCACAAAACCTTTCCCGTGCCTGACAATTTCCTGAGCGGCCACAGAACTATGTAGTTAAATTAAATGTTCTGTTACTGGAACTGGAAAAACTATACGCACTTTTATTGGCAGGTTGATGTCTCTGCTTTTTAGTATAATTTACCCCATAAATTAGCAGCAGGTAAATTAGCTCAGTGTTTACATGTTTTGCTCCTCTGTCGGTCCAGGAAGGAGATGGAAGCCTCGTGGGTTGATGCCCATGGTATCCCCAAGAAGTTTGGAAGGACATCTAGTCTTGAAGAGCAGGAAGGAAGCCTAGGAAGGCCAAACATGTTAAAAAGTTCAAGCTAACTGTGAAAGCTGTTGTGTCTGAGTTGGCGGGTCTCCTTGTTCTCCTACAGGGGTAGAAGAATCGCAGCCCGATTTCCGCTATGCCTGGATTGATGTTGTTTGGCCGGCGTTGGGTTATAGGCAGTGATGACTTTGTCTTTCCTGGAGCCTTTGAATTGTTCATCAGAGTGACCTGGTAAGATGTCTGCTCTCAGAGCTCAGTTCCTGTAGATCAGGGGTGTCGAACTCAAGACCCACGGGGCCACATCTGGCCCGCGATGTCGTCAGATCCGGCCCGTGGTGCAATCCGGTCTACCATTGCGAAGAGGAAAGATCACTCCCAGTGTGGCTTCGGCCCAGTCTACCCAGTGTGAAGAGGAAACATGCCAGCCGTTTGGGGAGTGGCGTCAAGCTGGCCACGCCCACCCAGTTGGCCACACCCCACTCAGTGTCATGCCCGCCAGGCCCTCTCGAGGTCAACCACAGCCCTGAGGCGGCCCTCAATGAAATTGAGTTTGACACCCCTGCTGTAGAGGTTGGAGTCTCCAATTTGGAAAGAGAAAATCCCTCTTGTGATGGGCACCTGGTTGTGGTTGAAAGTTGGCCTTTCCTCTCCTCTCTTTCATGCCCACTTTAAATGTTTCCCTAGTGACGAGAAAAGGGAGAGAATTTCAGCCACAAATCCATAATGACGTTACGCTGTCACCAGTGTGCTAGGAAGCGGTAGTCTTCCAAGACTTCGGGGAGTCCTCCAGGATTGGGGCGGCCTATAAATCGATTAAATAAAATAAATAAGACTTAGGAAGCCGAGTGGAATTCTTCAGGCTTGGCCAATACTCTTTGCATAATTTAAAGGAGGTTGACTTGCTCAACCCCTTCCAGGATGGACCTCATTCCTTGGCTGGTTTCGTGGCTGCTTCCAGTGGAGACACCAACAAAGGAGGCTTTAGGAGTCATTGTGCTTTGGTGAAACTTTGTGGTTCTGTGCTTAGTTGAAAGAAGCTTTGTCTTTTGAGAAGACAAGACTTCTACTGAGAATGTTTGGCGTGATAAAGGGAGCCGAGGTGGCGCAGTGGTTAAAGTGCAGCACTGCAGGCTGCTTCAGCTGACTGCAGTTCTGCAGTTC